CCATACACCCTATTATCCAGCATTCCCTCCACTACCTCCCATTTTACAGTTCTTGACCTCAAGGATGCCTTCTTTACCATTCCCCTACACCCTGAGTCTTACTTTCTCTTTGCCTTCACCTGGACTGATCCAGACACCAACCTGTCACAACAGCTTACCTGGACGGTCCTGCCCAGGGATTCAGAGACAGCCACAGTATTTTTGGACAAGACTTAGCAGCTGATCTTAGCTCCTGTCCCCTTCAACCCAGTCTCCTTTTTCAGTATGTGAATGACCTGTTACTTTGTAGCCCCTCCCTCTCCCTGTCTCAGCAGCACACCACCACTCTCCTTAACTTTCTGGGATCTCAAGGGTACTGGGTATCTCCTTCCAAGGCACAGTTTTCAGTCACCTTGGTAGTCTACTTAGGCATTCGCCTCACCCCTACAACTAGGCTTTTAGTTGTAGGGGTGAGGCGAATGCCTAACAACAAATCCACAAAAGGCATTCCTTTCGCTACAGCCTCCAAAGACGGCTGACCAAATTCTTTCCTTTTTAGGGCTGGTAGGATTCTTCCACCACTAGATGCCTAATTTTGCCTGCCTAGCTAAACCTCTGTATGCAGCTGCTAAAAACACACCCAGGGGACACTTCTTCTATCCTGGGGTAGTAAAGCAGGCTTTTAAAACCCTACAAACTGCCTTATCCACAGCACCTTAGCTCCAACTGCCAGATCTCAGCCGCCCCTTCCATTTGTTCACTAATGCAAAACAGGGGATCGCAGTTGGGGTCTTAACCAAACTCCTAGGCCCTGTGTATCATCCAGTAGCCTACTTATCAAAACAACTCAACTCCATGGTCAGGGGATAGCAGCCTTGCCTGCAAGCCCTGGAGGCGGCAACAGAACTCATCAAGGAATCCCTAAAACTTACCTTAGGCCAGCCCATCTCAGTGTTTTCTCCCCATCAGCTAACCAACCTTCCCTCTCACAAATCCCTCCCTCACCTAAGCCCCTCTCGCCTACAGGAATTCCATCTACTCTTTATTGAAAATCCTACAGTCAGCCTTCATCCCACTTCTCCACTCAACCCAGCCACTTTGTTTCCCCTTCCATCCCATTCTCCCTCCCCAGCCCATCCCTGTCCTAAACTAATGGAGGCACTTACTAAACCTCGAGACGTCTTGTCTAACCTCCCCCTACCTAACCCAGACCTTACCTTTTATGTAGATGGGAGTTCAATAGTGACAGCCGGGGGGTGGCAAAAAGCCGCCTATGCAGTAGTCACTGATTCAGCCACCCTTGAGGCATGTCGCCTCCCCAATGGAACCACCTCACAAAAAGCAGAGCTCATTACCTTAACCCAAGCTCTCACCCTAGCACAGGGAAAGAGGGCGAATATCTATACTGACTCAAAGTATGCTTTTCTTATTACCCACTGCCACGCTGCCCTCTGGAGAGAGCGGGGATTCCTTACTATGAAAGGGTCCCCCATAATTAACGCTACCCAAATCTCTAATCTCCTACAGGCCCTATCACTGCCCAAAGAAGTCACCGTCATCCACTGCTGAAGGCACTGAGCCCAGCAAGATGCTGTTTCCCGGGGAAATGCTAGGGCAGATATGGCAGCAAAATCCTTAACCAGTACCAAACTAGCCCCCATTCCAGTCCTGTTTCTCACCACAGCGATGCCGCCGATTTACTCGCCATCAGAGAAACAGAACCTCATATTAAAAGGGGGAACCGAGTCTAATCAGGGTTAGATCTTCCTAAACAACAAAATCGCCCTTCCCTGGGAACAGGCCCCAAAAATTATTGCTAAAATCCACCAGTCCTTACATATAGGGCCCAAAGTGTTGCGCCGTTTCATGCAGCCCCTCTTTTTCTTGCCAGGTCTGTAACAGACGATTGAGCAAGTACACAAAGTATGTGTTACCTGCTCTAAAGTCTCATCTCAGGGAGGCTTAGGGCCACAGTTTCCTACCCACCAAATGTGTGGCCACCTGCCAGCCCAAGACTGGCAGATTGATTTTACCTATATACCCACTCACAAAAAACTTCGCTACCTCCTAACCTTTGTAGATACCTTTTCTGGATAGATTGAAGCCTTTCCTACCTCCAAGGAAAGCGCAGACATGGTGGCCTCCCTCTTAATTCAGGAAATTATCCCTTGTTTTGGCGTGCCTAGAAACATCCAGTCAGACAAAGGTCCAGTGTTTACAGCTCAGGTGGTCCAGCTGGTCGCCAACTCTCTCAACATCTCCTAGAAACTACACATCCCCTACCACCCTCAGTAGTCGGGTAAGGTTGAACGGGCTCACGGCATCCTCAAAAATCATTTGGCCAAACTCACCATAGAGGCAAAACTCTCTTGGCCCACACTCCTACCTCTTGCAGTAGCCCAGGTTCAAGGCACCCCTTGGAGGCCAGAGTTGCTGTACAGCAAGCAGGCCTTTTCTTGTTTCTCAGAATCTCCCAGTACAACCACCTCCTCTGGCTTCCTACCTTCCCTACCTCTCTCTCCTCCGCCACTTAATCAGGGGAACACGCAGACCGTACTCTCCCCATGGTTCTGGGACCAGAGGACTCCCACTCGACTGTACCTCTCCAGCCAGGTAACAGTGTCCTCCTCTGGAAACTCAAGCCAGGGTCTCTGCAGCCCAGGTGGTCGGGACCCCACATCATTATCCTAATCACCCCGACTGCTGCAAAACTTTTTGGCCACATCCCTTGGTACCATGTGTCCCGCCTCAAACTGGCTCCCAAAAATAATCGGTGGAAATCTGAACCCTTGGGCCCCACTCGCCTCCGCCTCACCTGTAACCCCTACCCGTCAACTTCTAACACTTCAAATTCTCCTCCTAACCATCCTTCTGGTATCCCCTCTTAAAGCCAACTCCTACTATGTCTGGCGGTTCTACCTTCAGGAGTCCTGGACAGAAGCCTCCACCACTAAAACCCAATACCTTGCCCAAGCAGAGTGCCAGCCCGCAGACTGCCAATCAGCCATAAAATTTAAATTCCCCAAATCCAAGTCCAATACTATCAAAAACTCCTGGAATAACTTTGGCCTCTGCTTTTTATATGACCAAACCAAAGACTCCTGTCATTCGAAAAACAATACTTATGGTGGATGCCCGTACACTTCTTGTGTTATACACACAACCTTCAGAACTGACACCACCCCAAAAAGTAGAATACTCTTCGCCAACAACCAATGTAAAGTGTCCCTTATTATCCATAATCCCTGGGACACCCACTAGAAAAGGTGTACGGCAGGTAAAATATATACACTAGGTTTACAGACAGCCGTACCAGCAGTACCTGGCTAATATTCCGGGCCTATGCGCAGATCGTACCCATAGAAGTAAAACAACTCAATTCGTTAAGGAATTCCATCTTACAAAATGAGGCTTCTTTAACTAACCAACTTAACCCCTCAATCCAACCCAGGCCCTCCAACAGCGCCCCCCAGCCTTTCTCATGGCTAACTCTAGTACAGCAATGGGCTAACATGTTAAATTTAACCGGGGCCACAAATTTCACCAACTGCTTTTTATGCGCCTTCCATAACAAACCCCCCTTAGCTGCAGTTCCCCTCCAGACCGGGTTCAACCTGTCACAATCTCCCATGGGGCCTGACACCATCTTAAAGGGTATCCCCTTGTTCAATGTACATTCTCAAAATCTCTCTCTCTGCTATGGGACAGCCAGCAGCCCCAGCCTCAGGTGCAACACCACAGTAGAAGTAAAATCCTCCCTTTATGCGCCTCCAGGGGGATACTTTTAGCGTAATAGAACCCTAACCAAAGTTATTAATGCATCCCTCTCTTTCCCCTGTGTGCCCATCTAGTCCCACAGTTAGAAGTGTATGGACAAGCCGAGTTCCTATCCCTCATCACACCGTCCCCTAATCACCAGAGCAAACAAGCAGTCTTCCTCCCAATAGTAGTTGGCCTCTCTTTAGCATCCTCTCTAGTAGCAGCTGGAATAGGGAGTGGTGCCATAGGCTACAGCGTCGCTTCAGCCGCCCAACTGGATGAAAAGCTCCGTGTGGCTATTAAGTGTCAGCCGCCTCTTTAGCCTCCCTCCAGTGACAAATCACGTCGCTGGCTCAGGTGACTCTCCAAAACCAAACGGGCCCTAGACTTACTAACGGCAGAAAAAGGAAGTACCTGTCTGTTTCTCCAGGAGCAGTGCTGCTATTACGTCAACAAAACAAGCCTTGTAGAAGAAAATGTCAACACTCTCTATCGCCTCCAAGAGAGCCTCCGCAAGAAGCAGAGCGCACCAGCCTTATCTCTCAGCTAGTGGCAGTCCCCCATGCTTACTTAGCTAGCTCCCATTATCACCCCCGTTATCGTTGTGTGTCTTCTACTAATAGTAGCCCCTTTTTTCCGCAAGTTTTTACAGGCCCGCATGAGAGAAATTTCCAGGGTGGCCGTAAACCAGATAAAACTTCAACCCTATATCCGACTCCCAATCAAGGCACCAGCCAACTGACCCCTCCACCTCTCTCTGCCCTATTCAGCAGGAAGTAGCCAGAAAGAAGCAGCGTCCTATATCATCAAAAGGGTCAGAATGTAAGGCCGGTTGCCTCGCAGGGAGCTTGGACATGCCCATCCCTCTCCCCGCCTGAAAATTACATCACCACTCAGCATCTAGCTTCACCACACCCACCTCTGCACTCGGCACCTAGCCAGCCATTGGAAAGCCCTGCCAAAATTTAAAAGAAGCCCCACCCAAACCTGCCCAATGGCGCATTGCCTCATCCAGCCTGCTCACCAGAAATCCCGCCTACCTGCCTATAACAGGTTTTGGTATTGTTTCTCTGCCATGCTGTACATCACTAATAGATTGTAACTATACATTCCCCTTCTTCCTTATCCTCTGGCTTGATAAAGCTTCTCCATATGCACTCATAAGAGTCCATGTAACATTCTGTGACAATGGTGAGATCTTTCATGGCTCTTTGGAAGCTTACCAGGATGTACCATTATTTAAGAGGAAGTCATCCACATACCTGATCTGTTTTGTCTCTCAACTCTGTGTCCACAAACTCCTGAGGATCCTCGGTTCTGAAGTTCAAGAATAGGAGCAGAGGAATCTTCAGTGACAGATAGCGGGGACAGTTGTCTACTGATGCCACTGTGTGAACTGGGGCAGTTGGCTCCTGGTTTACATCGAGTGACTGATGATCTGGAGGTACCTGGAAAGACAGAGTTCACACCAGGTTAAAAACTGCCTGAAGAAAAAAATGGAAGTAGATTTTATTTATTTAATTATTGTTTGGAAACAGGGTCTCACTCTGTCGCTCAGGTTGGAGTGCAGTGGTGTGATCTTGGCTCACTGCAGCCTCTACCTCCTGGGTTCAAGTGATTCTCCTGCCTCAACCTCCCAAATAGCTGGAATTAAAGGTGTATGCCGCCACACCAGCTAATTTTTGTATTTTATGTAGAAACAGGGTTTTGCCATGTTGGTAAGGCTGGCAGAAGTAGATTTTAAAGGCCTGAGCAGTAAAATATATGGTAGCAACAATCACAGTCCTAATGGGCTTATTTCAAACTCTATAAAAAGGGCTCATAAAAAATGCTATATCAAGGTCTGTGCCTATAAGATCAAGACTCTTTTAGATAAATCTGTTAGCTAGAAATGAACGCTGGAAGATGGTGTTTGGATTGGTACTTGCATTCAGAATTAATGCTTAACGTAGTCAAATAGTTTAAGGCAAGGAAAGCACAGTGTTCTGTTATTTTCCACTCTACCCTTTTCTTCCTAAGGCTGTCAATTTCCTGACTGGTAAAACTGCCAATAGTATTTCCAACAAACTGACCATTACACTTTCCATAGGATTGATCACTAAAATTTAATTTCATTGTGTCTTCAGTCACCGCTAGCCTCTATTTGGTGTTATAGATGAAAATCCATAGGCCAAAGACCCCTCCTAATTCTGATTAATCATCCAAGAATCTCCAACCCGGGATCAACTTCATGGGTCTACAGCCAGTATAGTCACATACGGTGCTGTGCTCAGAAGGGCCCATCCTGCCACTTCCCACCCATCAGCCCCAATTATCCTATCCAAATGATGCGTCCATCAACATTAAGAGATTAACATTGGTACATCACTATTAGTCAAATTCCAAACTTCCTTTGGATTTCACTAGTTTTATCACGAAAGTGTTTTTTTCTAGAACCCTATTCATGGTACACATTACATTTAAGCATCATGTCCCTTTATCCATCTGTGGTCTGAGATAGTTGTTCAGTCTTGTTTATCATGATCTTGACAGTTCTAAAGAGAGCTGTTGAAGTATTTTGTAGTCTGTCAATTTGAATTTGCCAGATATTTTATCTTATGGTTATATTGGGTTCATAGATTTTCAGAAGGAATACCACAGAGGCAAAATATCCTCCTCCTCATGTAATATCTGCCATTACAGGCTACCAACAAGACTTGTTATTGATGTTAATTGTAATCACCTGGCCAAGTTCAAGTTGGCCAGGTCTCCCCACTGTCTTTTTTTCCCTTTTCATGCTGTCTTCTTCACTAGCCACAGTCCAGCCCACACTCTAGGGTGGGGAAGGGGTGAGGTGCTAAGCTTCGCTTCCTAGAGTTGGGGGGGAGGTCTACATATATTATTTGGAACTCTTCTGTAATGATAATTTGTCTCTTTTCCTCCTTGGTTTAGTCTCAATTTATTTATATTAGTATAGGCTCATGAATATTTATTTCATACTTTGGGTTATGATCAAACTTGCATTGTTTATTATTTTGCTCAAATACTCCAGCTTTGGCCATAGCAAGCTCTTTCAGATTGGCTTCTGAGTACTTTTGACTTGTTCCCATTCTTTTGTGTTTGGGCTCTTCCTTAATTTCTGGCACTACAAGATGCCCTGGGTTCATCTTACAGTTTCCCTGTCCCACTCCTGAAATTAATCATTTTCCCAAGGATTTCTATTTCTATTCTATTTCTTTGGAATAATAGTTGCCAGAGCCTAGGATGGATAGTGCCTTGAGGGTGGAGGGAGTGTGGACAGTTAATGAGTACAAAAATAGAATAAGATCTAATATTTAAAAGCACAAGAGGGTGACTACAGTCAACAATAATTGATTGTAGATTGTAAAATAACTAAGATTATAATTGGAATGTTTATAACACAAACGATAAGTGCTTGAGGTGATAGATGACCCATTTACCCTGATGTGATTGTTACATATTGTATGTCTGTATAAAAATATCTCATGTACCCCATTAAGATATATACCTACTATGCACCCGTAAAAATTTACCATTTAATGTTGGATCTAAAAATTAAAAAATTACAGTTACTCAAAAAGTTAATAGAAGCATTACATACTAACTGCTATACTTAATGCTATGTTACTATTGTTATAAAAGTGTCAAAAATATCCAGTGTTCTTATTTATTTTATATACAGAATATTTATTGTGCCTTGTACAACTATGCTTCCAACTGGACAGTTCAAGTTCAATAGAAACAGACTGTCTGAAATTCAGTGAACTCTCAATTATTCATGTTCTTCAAGAATGGCTGATGCTCAGATACTCCAAGAGTCTTTTAAAATTTATCTTTTTATTTTTATAAAAGATATGCCTTCTCTTCTTTTCTCAAGGTAATACTGGGTTTCATTTTCCCAATATTCCATTCCCAATCCCTTGGCAATTACAGGTGAGAAGGAGAAAGTCTCAAATAAGGTTGGACAGCAAGTTGAGATAGGACTGAGATAAAATAGTGGCCAGGGTTACCTAAAAAGTTGTGTGTAGCTAGCAAGCATTGAATTTATAAGCCATACAAGTGATTTATCTTCCTTTCTCATTTTCACTAAAATATTATGTCCTGGCTTCCATACCTCCTGTTCCTTATGTGATATACTGCAAAGCCCATTGCCTGCTACCAACTGCCTCCCACTGGTCAGTTTGTGGAAGAGATCCAAGAGTAGTTCATCCAGAGGAGTCATTTTAATCACTGCCTTAAACAATGCAAACTTTAAACTTCAGAGCCAGACCTGGAGACATATTCAGGGCTTGGGCCATGAAACAATTATCTTTGATCCTGGAAGTGAAAACACTGTCCCATCCTCTATGGTCTTGTACCATTTAGTGACTCTAAAGCCAACCCTGAAAAAGTAAACATTTAGAACGTCACCTGGGATGTAGTCAAGGATCATAAATAAATCATATCTATTTTCTGTTTTGTATGCAACAATGAGTGCCTGAGCGGAACCAGAGATTGCAAATTCAGTTAGTAAACAGCATTTGGACTTTACTAAGTATTGCGAACAAACTGTATTAGGAGTGATGTGTGGGTGCTATCTCATTAGTCACACCAGATGATTCCCTATCCTTCTTAAAGACATCTCACCTAAGCCATAGGAGTGGGACCATCTTGGGCTATTTTTCTTATTTGGCCCAGAAAGGGAATATGATTTCTTCATCTGCCCAAATTCCATTTGATTCAACAAGTAGTTATTAAGCACCTATTATGAGGCAGCTATTGTGACAGGAGCAGATTTAGATAAATGAAGAATACATAGTTTGTACCTTCATGAAACTCTCAATTTAGTATGATGCAGACATGTAACCAATTAGCCACAATTTGATGCAGCCTGGGGAGCAGGAAGAAAGGGAGTGAGGGATTCATTGAGAAGCCTGGAGCAGGAAAGGCTCTATGGGAGGTTACATCAAAGGTGTCTTTGAAGGATGAACAGGATTTAATCACGCAGAGTTTTCAGCTGGGGAATAGGCAATACAGTCAGAGGCAAGCATAGAAGCAAACACAGCCATAAGATGCACACTGTGAAGCTTAATATTAAAACAATCAGCTATATAAGATGCTGAAATCTCAGTACACAAGAGTACTGGAAATCCCATTCTTTCACCCTCACCTGTTACTTGAAAAGGAATGGTCTAATTGAGATTCAGGAAGTATACAGTGGTTAAGAAACCAGGTTGCCTAAACCTGGGGAGACATGGTAAACAAAAATGACTATTAGGGGTCATTTATTAATTAGAATATTTGACTTCATATAATAGGAATCCAAACTAACTTGGCTTAAAGCTAAAAGGGGAGTTTTTAGGAGCTCAGCAACCTAAAGGGACAAGAAGGCTAGAGTGTCTCTAAACCTCAGGAACACCTGGAACCAGAGACCTGGTGCAGTCAGTCAGTCTCATTTTCTCCATCTCTCGCTGCTGAGTGCCAGCCTCATTTCTTCTCAGTTGGCTTCTGCTTGTCTTTCTCTGCAGAAAATTTGGTTGTAAGAAGCTCACACACTTTCAATCTCACAGCTTTAGCCTTCTGAGAGAAATCTAGTTGCATAGAGTCAAAAATCCAGGAAAGGGACTTGAATATTATATGGATGGCTTGTCTAATTTCTGTGACTAGAAGAGGAAATGGGCTGCAGCTCCAAGGAAAGGAGGAGTGCAGCTGGGAATAAGGTGCCTGTAGTGTTTAGGAACTTCAAAGCAGATAGGGAAAAGAATGACAGCCACTGAGTAAAACAACTGCTTAAACAGACTGAGTATAAGATGTGAAGTTCTCAGGTAACAACCTGAAAAGCCAAGCTGATAAAGGTTAGCCAGGAAAAGGTCTTTCTTTGGAAAGCACTGGGGCTCAAGAGCAAAGTATCAAATGTCTCCATGTGAACAGTGCAGGATGACTTGGAAGATACAGATAGATCAAAGTCCCAGCTATCATTCAAACAAAGGCCCTACCATTGACTTTTTTCTCCTATGGGCACAAAAGATCAACAAAACACCTAGCTTCACTAAGTATTATACTGAAGCTGAGCCAGAGACCTTATCCCTATTTGCCCCAAATTATGAAGTAAACAACATTATGTAGATCTGGTGCCTAAAAGCAGAAATCGTGAATACACAGAAGCAATTGCCATGATCTAGGAAATGGGCGTGTGTGTGTGTGTGTGTGCGTGCGTGTGCATGAGTGCATGAGTTTGTGTGTAGAAGGGGTAGTTCCTCTATGACAAGAGGCAGCATAATATGTATCCTAAAAAGGCTGCCCTGAAAAGCAAGATACCACTGGCTATGTCCCCTCAGGTAAATCGCTTGACCTCTTTTTGTCCACACTCTTTCCTTGCTGAAATTAAAGGATTAGACAAAATGATTTCCTAAACTGCCAGAGCTTTCTCTTCTTCAACTGGAAGATTTTTCAAACATGTACCTGCAAA